TTATAAAAGAACATAGATTTCACTGACTATGATCTCTGAATACAATATATGTGACAGTAGAACAGGAAAGAGGACAGGGCCTAGCAGAAGTGTGGGTGGAGACAGGAAATGATAGTAGGGGGAAGACCATCGATGGATATATTGAATGGAAATGTCATGAAACCCTTCATTCTTTTTCATTGGCTGTCTACTAGTACATATGTAAAAAGAGGCTTCTGATGGAACACTTTAAGAAGTTTACCTGACTATGGATTCTCCTTAGTGTAATGCTTTAGTCATTCTGAGGACGTTTCCACCTAAGTAATGCCAACTGTGCTAGTTTTCCATCCCTGCCACAAAACACCTGAAATAACTTTAAAGGGTGAAAAACAGAGAACCCACATTTATTTGCTTACAGCAGTGCATTGATAATGCTAAATTATATTTAAATGCTATTTTCTTTTTACCATTTCACTACTTTCTCAAGTTAACTGACTATACATTTATTTATATGAAATTTAAGCTAGAAATATACAACACATATTCACTAATTTAGTGTTTATCAGTAATTTTCTGTTCTGTTAAGTTTGCATATACTTAGGAATTTTCAGGAAAGTTTCAACTTATGGCCCACTGAAATATAAAATGTTCTTAAAATTGTATAGTTTAAAAATTTTTTTACATATATTCATTTTGTTGAAGAGATTTTTAAATAAAATCTGGATATCTCACATCAATTTTTTATTAAATCCTTGTAAAGTTATCCTTACAAAAATGTAAACTAGAAAATTTTCAGTTGGATATTGAATATTTTAATTAAAATATGTTGTTTTAATATTTCAACTTTTCTAAACTGAAGTTTGTAACTTTGATATTGATATAATATTGAGTAAGTTTTCATTAGCAGTGACATTCTCAAATAGTATAAAATTATTTAAAATCAAAATCCCCAAGGTTTCCTCTAATAGTTGCAAACTACAATTTCTCATTAAAGCATGTGTTCACAGAAAAATGCTAAGTAAATTTAGCTGCTGAACGCCACAAGTTCATTTTTATTTTGCTGGAATATCACTTACTGGCATGCATACACAGGAGACTCCTATGGAAAGTGAAGGCAGGTGTGGTGGCACACGCCTGTGACCCAGCACTTTTGAGGCTATGGCGGGAGCATCGTGAGTTTGACTGAAATCAGTCTGAAGTACAGAGGGACGCCCCCCTTTCTCTCTCTCTCACACACTTCCAGTGAACATTTTCATATCTTTAGCAGACTCAAATGCTGTGTGCCGAGTGATCAAGCTCAGGTCTGACTGCTTCCCCACAGTCTCAGCAGCGACAGACACTTCTGCTGCTGCTGCTGCTTCCTCTCAGGGGAGCTGGCTCATAACTATGAGATTGTAATATTCCAGTCAGTGTCTGTGTGCTGCCAGTTGCACCTGGGCTAAACTCAATTTCCAAAGAATCATTTATAGATTAAAATTATTTAAGAGTATCAGGCAATTATTCTGAATTAGTAACTTAAATAAATCACTATTTATGCTGGCTGGCATTATGTATTTCATAAAGACTTCATGGACCTAATTTGAGTGGCTAAGGTCTTGATCTTCCTGAGATTCCTGAAGACTTGCTAATGTTGCTGACGGTGGACAGTACCTCAGCCCACACCAGGTATCTTGTCATCTGGAAGTGACATAATCACTCTGTGTTCTCTCTGAACAGTCATTCTGATTTTTGATCATTATTCACTAGATACGGTAAAACTTAAAATGAAAATGATACTTTTTATTTAATATATTTGCATGTCCATTATATTATTAAATCTCCACCAAGAAGAATGCAAAGATCACCATAAGTTCTTAAAACAAGACTGTTCTGAAATCAAATACTGTGTTTATGAAGGGGTAAAGCGATTTTTCTTGAAGGATGTAGAGCTATGTATGCACTAAGCCGCTCTTGGTTTCTATTGCTGCATCTCTTCAGACAGCTGCCTGCAGACTACTTGGTCTTGAGGGCTGGGTCAATTTAATAGTGATGGCTTCTACATATTATGAATGTTTACAGGTACTCTTTGGGTTTTAGTACTTATAAGTAAATATTGAAAATTAAAAAGACATAAAGCCCTCAGCAGAGCAGTTTTTTTTCAAATAAAGCAAATAACTTTTCTCAGTGCATGTACATGTTAACAATTCAGTTTGTATCAATGGTTCAGTCTGATTCAGTCTCAGATGGGGTGAGCTCCAGAGGAAGATGTCACTTGATAAATTAGGAGATAAATCACTTTCTGTAAATCATCACTATTTACAAATCAATGCACATGAAATATACAGGTTGTAGAACATATCTTTGGGTCAAGGAAAAAATCATTTTAAATTACGACCTTTTACCTAATACTACCTTCCTTTTATATTACTTGTAATACATGTGTATAATGTTATAATGTAAATGCATAATTATTGAAAATTATTTTACATGTATGGTTTGTCCATTTGGAATTTTAAAATTTGAATTGGACTCCCCTTCTTTAAGTTTGGAGACCAAGACTGAATTAAGTGTCATCTTGGAGCTTTTATTTAAGATTTATTTATTTTATTTTACGTATATGAGTGTTTTGCCTGAGTATGCGTCCGTGTGTCACCTGTATGCCTGGGTCTGAGAGGGCAGTGGATCCCCAGAACTATGGTTACAGATGGTTCTGAGGCTCTATGTCATTGCTGGGAATCTAATCCGGTCCTTTGAAAGAGTAAATCATGCTCTGAACCACTGAGCTATATCGCCACCTTGTATCCTGGAGTTTTAAAAAAAATACAGGACACCATGGTGGAGCAACTATAAATGTATGTTGGTGGGAGAATCAGATGTTTGGCTCTGGCAACTGGAATGAATCTATTCCTTTACTAGATCAAAAATTTTAAAGCATATTTATTGTATACATAAGGTGTATGAATTATGTTGTCATATTCATGGATATGTTATAGGGTGGGCTTATACACTAACTTCTGCATTATTTCTATACATACATGCATGCATCCATCTATATGTGTGGAATATACAAGTTAACTTAACAATATAATTGGTCACTCTTTTACTTACAGGATTTTGGGTAAATATGGCAGTTTTCTATTTCTTTATCACAAAGCTGCTATGAAATAACTGAATTATAGTAATTCAAAAATAATGACGTTGGTATCCAGGCCAAATATGGGCACCAGATAGTTGATTCAAATTATAAAAAAAATCTGTGTGGTTATGACCTCTAATAATACTGTGGACCTTGTTTTCCACTGCTTGGGAAGGAATCTCTTTTAAAAACAGAAATTCCAAAACACAATCACTACATAATCATCTTCAGCAAGTTTATGTTTGTCACACTGTGTTAAAATAATGTTTGTTTTTGTGTCACATGTTGTCTCTTGTTGGAGCTCCTATTTGCACATCTTAAAATGTGAGTATGTACCCTGTAGTGACTACAGTTACCATAGCAAACGGGACCATGGCCAGGATTGGAGTGGTGTACAGAGTGTTAGAGAGGAGAATGGCAGGGTACAAGTGATCACATCAGGGAAATGGGAAAGGGAGATCCTTGGGGTGGGGGAGGCCAGAGCTAAATATAGAAGAAGATGGGAGGAAAGTATAGCCAAGTAGAAGAATACAATTAATCTGATATGGAAAATTGAATAATGGGGGGGATTCCTATGTAAGGTGACAGAAGATAGAGACAGAAGAAGGTAAATAAAATAACAATATGAATGACTGAAAAGTCATAAGTCAAAAAGAGAAAAGGTCAAAGATTCATACTATTAATGATTCACTCACCGCTATCTGGGAGTTAGTTCTTTAAACCTGAAGTGGAGTGTTCCAAAGGGTGATGGAATGGGAACTAAAGTGGGAGGTATCTAGGATCATTTGTAATCCTAGTTAATGGATATACAATTAATAGGGTGTGGAAGGTGCAATAATGGTCTCCAACTGTATCTATGACTTTAATTCTGGATTCTGGGGATGTAAGGCTTAATAGAAAAAGGAACACATGAATTTAAATAGACATTTTGCTCAGTTAAAATAGTGGGATTATCATGAATTACCACCTGTGATTCCAATAGAATTGTCAGTTAAAACATTGATAGTTGCGAAATAGAGCATGTTTTAAACTTATGGAACGTGAGACTCAGTCACCTTGCTATTTTGGGATTCTTTTGTATATATTTTCAAGATCAACATAAGTTGATTTTTCCCTGATCAACATAATTTTTATTCAATTGTAAAAATGTGATTAATATTCTGTGTTCATCACTACTGTTTTAGGTGCTAATTATAAAATGAGGCAATGTAAATCAGTAGGATTGGATTTCTAAGGCATGATGCCTAGTGTGCATTCTTTATAGAATGTGACTGTAAATAACTTTACTGTCTCTCATATGCTATATATACAGGTAGAGACATAGAGAAGTATATAGAAATGGAGCCTATGATATTCAGCCTGGAACATCAAAAGTTAAAGATACAGGTTAATCAAGAAGGGGACCTCATGGACCCCAGACGGATAACTGATTCAGACCCCCTAAATTTGTGTGTCAGTGAGGAGGGCTTGGCAATCTATGGGGCCTTAGGTAGTAGTAGATCAGAATTTATCCCTGACATACAAATGGATTTTGGAAGCCCATTCCACATAGAGGGGTGCTCTCTCAGCCTGGGCACATGGGGGAGGGCCTAGGCCCTGCCCCAGTGGTATGACAGACTTTGGAGATTTCCCTATGGAGGGACTCACCCTCCCTGGGGAGCAGAATGGGGATTGGATGCGGGGTTGGAGAGGTTAGTGGGGAGCGGGGGAGGAGGGGAAGGAGAGGGAGCAGGGATTAACATGTGAAGCAAGCTTATTTCTAATTTAAATAAAAAAGAATAAGTAGGTAAAACAGAGTGCTAAAGACATACTGACTATTGAATCACAAGCTTGATGTATACTTTTATTTTTCAGTTATATGAAATATGCTTCTACTATGATGCTACAATGAATACACTTTCCACATATGTTCTCATTAAAGAATGTCCTTTATTTCCAAATTGGACTTGGAGTCCTGGCCAATACGTTTCTCCTTTTTTTCTACATTTTCATAATCCTAGTTCATAGACCTAAGCTCATGGACCTGATCTCCTGTCAACTGCCCTTCATCCACATAGTGCTGATCCTCACTGGAGGGGATATTGGGCTTACAGATGTATTTGAGTCACTGAACTTTGAGAATGACTTCAGGTGTAAGGCAACTTTTTACATACACAGAGTGATGAGAGGCCTCTCCATCTGCATCACCTGCCTCCTGAGTGTGTTTCAGGCTGTCACTATCAGTCCAAGTACCTCTTTGCTGGCAAAATTTAAACATAAACTGAAAAGATACATGATCTATGCTTTCTTCTACATGTGGTTTCTCAACTTGTCATTCAGTAGCAACCGGATCTTCTATGTTGGGGCTTTTACCAATGCCAGTGAGACCAACCAGATGAAGGTCACCAAATACTGCTCACTCTTCCCCATGAACTACATCATCAGGGCACTGAATTTAACAGTGACAACCTCCAGAGATGTATTTCTTGTAGGAGTTATGCTGACCACAAGTGCATACATGGTGATTAGCTTGTTCAGACATCACAGGCAATGCAAGCATCTTCACAGCCTTAGCTACCTGAGGGTGTCCCCTGAGAAAAGGGCCACGCAGACCATCTTGCTGCTGGTGGTCGTCTTTGTGATCACTTACTGGGTGGACTTCATTATCTCATCCACCGCAGTCCTGTTGTGGATGTACCATCCAGTCATCCTGACTGTTCAGACGTTTGTGGTGAATGCGTATCCCACAATTACTCCTTTGGTACAAATCAGTTCTGATAACAGAATAATCAATATGCTGAGAAACTTGCAGTCAAAGTGCAATCAGATTTTTAAACAATGACAAATTTTCTCATATTTAAAAATCAGTTTCTTTAAGTGTGTGAGTGTTGTGGCAGCATGTGTGCATGTGTGCGTTCCTGGTGCCCACAGAGGCCTGAAGTGGTCATTGGATCCCCAGAACTGGAATTACAGATGCTTGTAGGGAGTCATGCTGGTGAAGCAGCAATTAATTTTTTTTCTAAAAAACTTGTTCAAGTAGCAAAGTAAGATTCATCATAATTAAACAAAATTTGTAGTATAACACATATATATTGTCTTATACATTGTGCTGTCTGTAGTATATTGTTCTTTAAGTTCATTGTACAATAAGTTGATATTTTCAGAGGAATTCCCTTAATTAAATAAACTAAACTGTAATAAGGTAAGTAAAAAAGATACTAGAATGGGACAAAACCAAGAGGAGACATTAGCCAAAGAAAATGCACAAAAACACATAAAGATGTAGAGGCATACAAGTCACACAGGAATCCCACAAAAACACAAAACCAGAGGCCCTAATATATAACAATACATAGGCAAAGGACCTATAAGGGAAAACTAAGACAAAACGAAACCCAACATTATCCAACAAAGAACCTTCAAAAATTCCATTAAGTTTGTTTCGCCCATCTACTGCTGGGCCCGGGGCCTACCCTTTAGATCAGTTTCTTTCCCCAGTGAGACTCCCTTGAAGACAGCTAATCTTTCACTTGCAAGTGACTATCAAATGGAGATAGCTGTGGTGAGGACAAAACACAACCTGACCCAGTGCCACCTACACTGAGTGGGAGAAGGAGACCCACAGGCCAGGATGTCAGGCCCTATTATGGTGAGCAAATACATGGTGGGTCACGGGACAGAGGTGGGGAAGGGAAGATGAGAGGAGGAGAGAGAGGAGAGGGGGCGTTCGTTTCCTATGCTGAGAGCATATTTGAAGAGGTGAAGGTGGCGAGAAGCAGGCAGAGGTGAGTAGGGCCATGGTGATGTCTGGGCCTGGGCTGCTGCCAAGACCCATGTCTGTGTTGAAGTCCCTCTTGCAGCTAGGGTCTGTACTGATTTTCAAACTTCCTGATACCACCAAAGGCTGAGAGGACAGGGCTTGCACAGAGTTGGGCCTGCCCCTCACTGGCTGCAACACTAGGGAGAATAGACCATGCCCCTCACTGGCTGCAGCACTCAGAAGAGCTGGTCCTACACCAACCATTCCCGGGCAGCACAACAGAGCCGAACCTGTCTCCTGGGGGCACTGGCAAGCCGGCCCTGATGGTATGGGAGTGTAAGAGCTGGTCCTATCCCTTTTGTCTGCAATGTGGTGGTATGGGTGAGAAAAAGATTTCCTCACCCCACTTGCCCCTTGCCACCAGTGACAGGTGGAAGATATGGCCCAGCTCCTTACCCACTGGAGATCTGGCCCTGTGCTTCGCCTGGGAAACATAATAGAGCTGGTTCTGATGGTGTAGTGAGCCAGCCCTGAGGGTGTGAAAATTGGAGCCAGGAAAACTGGCCTCACCCTTTGATCCTTGCTGCATGGGGTGAACTGGCCAGGACAGTGTTGGACAGTTCACCATGATGGTGATGATGAAGGCTGACCAACCCAGCTACCACCCAGGCTCAGAGCCAAGGCTATGAGTTGGCCCCCACCACAACATCTACCCCATCTATGAACTGCTGAAGCATGGGAATAGGCCTGTCCTGCAAATCCAAAGCTTTAGGAGCTCCATGACAAAGGACAACAACAGGATATCCAAGAGGAGCTCCAGTGAGGGCCTAGTACCTATAGTGTACCAGAAAGTAGTGGCCTCAAACCAGACCAATGACTCTCTGCAAGTGAACACATGCAACTAAAGACATATGAACAAAAGGGTACATTGTTTGACTCATTGTGTCATACTATAGCTTCCATGATGAGATTTTTTTTCTTTCTCTTAAATATTATTTCATTTTATCGTGGAAGGGATGTTGCAAAGGCAGAGGGTGGATAAGAAAGGATGGGGAGATGAATGGGACCAACATGCATGACATGAAAGCAACAAAGTATAAATAAAACTTAAATCTGTAGATGGGATCTTGAAATTTGCATGCAAATGGACAGCACTAGAAGGAACCAACCGGAGTGAGGTAACCCAGTCACAAAAGGTCAAACATGGTATGTACTCACTCATATATGGATTATAGACTTGGATCAAGGGAGTGCCAGCCTACAATCCCACTGCCCGAGAGTCTGGGAAACAGGAAGGACCCTAAGAGAGATATGCATGGTACCCCAGAGAAGGTGGAATGAGGCAAGATCTCCTGAGCAGATTGGGAGCATGGAGGGGGAGGGGGGAGGGAGCCAGGAAAAAGAGAGGGGGAGAAGAGGAAGTGAGAGGAGGACATGGGGGAGCAGGAAGTTTGAGTTAGGGGAAGAATAGAGGAGAGCAGGATGAGAGATACCATAATAGAGGGAGTCATTTTAGGTTTGAGGGGAGATCTGGCACTAGTGAGATTTCCAGAGATCTACAAGGATGAAACCAACTGGCAAACTAAGCAGTAGTGGAGAGACTACTTTAAATGTCCCTCTCTAATAATGATTTTGACGACTGATCTTACATACCATCCTAGAACCTCCATCCAGTGACATACGGAAGCAGAGGCAGACACCCACAGCTAAACACTGAACTGACCTCCTGGAACCCAGTGACAGAGAGGGAGGAGTGATGAGCAAAGGGGTCAAGACTGGGCTGGTGAAACCCAGAGAAACAGCTGATCTGAACAAGGGAAGATCTTGGACCCCAGACTGATGGCTGAGAGGCCAGCATGGGACTGATCCAGACTGCCTGAATGTGGATGTCAGTGAGGAGGCCTAGGCAATCTATAGGGCCTTGGGTAGTAGATCAGCATGTATCCCTGGCACACAAATGGACTTTGGGCACTCATCCCACAATGTGGGATGCTCTCTCAATCTGGACACTTGGGGGAGGGCCTAAGCCCTCCCCAGAAGGAAATGACAGACTTTAGAGATCCCCTATGGAGGGCCTTACCCTCCCTGGGGAGTGGAGTAGGGATTGGGTGGGGGGCTGGGGAGCTGGTGGGGGAGAGTGGGCGTGGAGGGGAGGGAGAGGGAACTGGAACTGAAATGTGAAGCAAGCTTGTTTCTAATTTAAATATGTAATAAAAATAAAAAATCTGTAGATGGCAATTTGGAGGATTCTTCCAAAAATGTTCCCCAATGACTAATATGTGTAGTTTTGATCCTCACGCCCAAAATGGAGTTAGCTTCTGGATTAGTAATGGGGTGTGTGTCATCTTCTGCTATTAGCTCTAGAACACTATCTGGTGCAGACCTGTTTAGGTACTGTTCATGTTGCTCAGACTCAAGAGTTTATAGTTTATATGTGTCAGTTCATTGTGTTAAGAAAGGCCCTATTTTCTTGATGTACTCCATCTGCTCTGGATCTTACATTCTTTCCTCTTCCACAGGGTTTCCTGTGCCCTGAAAGTAGGGATTTGATGCAGACATTCTGCATAGATCCGAGTGTTTCAAGGTCTTTCACTCTACATATTGTCTGCTGTGGTCTCAATGGTTGTTCTCACTTGTTGCTGGAGGAAGCTTCTCTAATGATGGTTGATCCGTGAGTATAGCAGAATGATATTATGGGGTCATTTTATTGGTATGTTCCTTTAACAGAACACAAGTATTTGATTTCCCAATACATCCCTAGCCTATCTAGTCTCAGGTTCTTGGTCACCCAATCAGCATCAAATATGGGTTCCATGGAGTGGTCCTTAAATAAAATCAATTATTTACTGATTACTGCCACAAGATTAATGCCTCTATTGCACCAGCATATCTTGCAGGCAGATCACCATTGTGAACTGAAGGTTTTGTAGGTGGGTTGTTGTTTACCCTTCTCTTTTGGTAGGGCAGAGTACCTTCCAGTACCATGAGCACTAGCCAGTAAGGAAAAAGTCCTTATATAATCACACATTATAATTCTCCAAGATCAATGAGATGTATATGTATTATCTTCAGCAATAGGAACTTATAATCAGTGGGAGAGCAACTAATAGCCTTGGCAATAGCCTGGGTTGTTTAGGGGTTTCCATAGGACCTCTTCAGCCAACAACTCAATTAGATGTAACCCATTCCCAATTCTGGAATTTCCATTTGGTGATGGGTGATGTCCAGTTGGGGCTCCATCCCCCATGTTATTTGGCAGTTTTATTTAGATTGCCAACACGCACGCGTGCGCACCCCCCACACACACTGTATGTGAAATGTCTACTGTATTATATTTCCTTCATACATTCCCTTCTGTGCCTCATTTTCCCTGCTCTTCCCATTTGTTCTTCCCATTCCAGCACCCCCCATCCATATATAACTATCTATTCTATTTCCCTTTCCTATGGAGAGTCATCAGTCTCACCAAGTCCCTTACTCTATATCTAACTTCCGAGCTTATATAGACTGAAGATTTTTAAAAAATCAATTACTCAAAAGCTAAAATGCACATAAAAATGAATACACACTAACTTAAAAAACTAACAAATGCTTTTCCTTTGATCAGGTATATCCTGCCAAAAAAATGTAAATTCACCCAAGTTAGGTTTGGGGCAGGGATTTGTTTTTGTCTTTATAGGAGAATAAAGACATCCAACCAGAAATCTAAAGACAATTGGACAAATGAAACATCTGAAGAAAAAGGATGAATTATCCACAGAAAATGTCCCAAGAAAAAGAATAAATTGACCTGATGGTATAACACATTTTCAGCATGATAAAATTTCATAAACCTTCCTAAATGTTTGTTTCTTCTGTTCTCTACAAATATAGAAGGCAAATGGTTGTTTTGTAGTCCCAGTTCAATTAAAATTTAAAGCTACCTTTGAGTTGGAGCAAAGCTCTCTTCTTCACTAAACCCAATGCTTGTTAAGTAAAATCCAAAATCTCTGATGTCAGAAGAACCATCTGATATTGGACAAAAGAAACCCAAGTTAAGAGACTATTCTATTGCCATTAATCTCATAATCCTTTGGTTACAT